AGAAAAAACATATCACAGCCTCTCTCAGATAAAGTACACAACTTTTTGTGCTATATTTTCACAAGGTTCTTGTATTAGATAGGCATAAACAGTTTATTCTTTCCAGTACAATTTATTTTAAGAGAAAATCAAAAGAGGAAATTCCTCCTTCGCTATTCTACTGATAAATATTTCTACGCAGACAGGCTAATAAATTATTTCTGTTTTTCCCATGTGCGTGTTGAAGTGGAGAGCGACCAGCCATATCAGCCAAGAAATCCAGTATAAGGTTTCAGAAAGATCTGATCTAAAGGCCACGAGATATAGGTTAATTGGATATAATACTCCAGCACAAGATCTGGGAGGAAACCTCAACATGTAACAATCAAGGAAACGATCTGCAGATAGAAGCTGGATTAGTGAGAGGCGGAGTCGAAAAAAAGTAAAACTTTATTGGTCGTAACAATGCCCTCAGATGGGGAATGATATATGTGTTTGTGTTTCAGGTTATACTGGAGTCGTTGTGTTTGGAGTAATCAAAAGTTTGTGATACCCGTCTGACCGTCTTTGCGCATTTTGAAGGAAAAGTGAATTGTGATGCAGCTAGCTCGGAAGCCCGAAGTACTTTGTTTCACCGATATTAAAATGATTTCAGTCACTTCCGATGACCGATTTCAACTTCAACCTTCTCCGAAGCTGATCATTTTTGTGCGAAAGTTTTAATGTATTGAGAACTCGGGTACAAGGAGCATATAAACATAATATTTAGGTTTCCACTAAAATTAAAATTTTACGTTTTTCTTTCATTACTGATAACCGGGCTAGCTGAGATGACGCGCTATTATGTGAGTGTCCAAAACATCAGGGTTCGGTTCCCGACAAAGGAAAGTGACTTTTCTTTAAGCCACAAGTGACTGTGAGTCCCACCCAACCTTCTACAAAATGGCTGACTGGGACTCTTTATCTCAAGATTAAAGCGGCTTGGACGTGAAGCTTACCACTCACCTCCATTTAGTGCCGAGGTCAGGAATGGTGAAGCTGTACCTACACCCCCTCGCACATCTTCAGGGTATGAGGCTTAATTAATTAAGCTCTGGGATATCTTTGATTCCTGACACCATTTACGGGTTGTAGAGCTGCTTCATTGAGGCCACACAGACTAAACCCGACTTAAGATCAAGAGCTTTCAAGTATGAACGAGGGAGCCATCTATGTTAATATTTATTAGGCCTTGCCGTAGCTCAGGCTGTAAGTTGCTGGCTTCTGATTGCGGCGGTTCAGTTTCGACCTCAGTTCAGGTCATATTAGCTTTGTGGTGGACAAATTGTCACTGGATTTTTAGGAGTACTCTGGTACTCACTTACAATTCTCATTGTACTAACGGTTACACATTCATCATCATTCTGTCTTCGATGTTATGTAGTTTTGATACTAACAGCGTCGTTAAATAACCAACTTATTTAAAATGAAACAGAATTTACTGACTCCCTTTCAGGTCCTTTCAGTTAAAGCAAAGATTTTACCCTTGAGTTGGCGTTGAAGCTACTGTATTGTACTGAATTCCTATTGCTTCCTTATGGAGCTTATGGCATCCGTGAAACGATATTTTACTTCAATTTCTTTAATCTTATAGACAATCGGTATGACTCATTGGACGGGGGATCAGCCCGTCACAAAGCCGCTCCTTACACAGGACAACATAAGCACAGAATAAACACAGAAACACATTTATGCCTCGAATTTGATTCGAACTCACGATCTCAGTGTTTGTCCGGGCATTAAAAGTATGTTTATTTTAACCATGACGGTACTCTGTTGTCTGGGTGCTGAGTGTGTTCAACTCGTACACCCTGCTCTGAAGTAACATCTTGAATTTCGTCAGAACCTATTGATTTGTTTCAGAGATATGTGAATGTACAATTTTGGTGCTAAGTAAAGGTTATTTAAACGTATTAATTCTAAAGTTCATATAAAAAGCGTATATTAAAATGTAATGGCACCTGTGAGAATAATGTGTGAGGTGGAGGGATTCAAAAACAGTGTCTTCTGAATACCGAAACAGCTGCTCTCTTTACATTAAACTTCGTGCCAATATTCGTTAAAAACTAATAAAAACACTTGTTTTCATTCATTTAAAATATGCATTAAATATTGTCTTTAAATTATTTTATATGTCAAGATTGTATTTTAATTTTGTTACGAAGGCTTTTTTGTCGCCAGTCTTCGAAATTAACCATACATTATTTCCCATCTTCGAATGTGGTGTTGGAGAAGGATGGAGAAGATCAGTTGGACCGATTATGTGAGAAATGAAGAAGTGTTATTTAGAGTCAGTGAGCAGAGGAATATCCTACACGAAATAAGAAAACGGAAGGCTAATTTGATTGGTCATATCTTACGCGGTAACTGCCTTCTAAAAGAAGTTATTGAAGGAAAGATAGAGGGGCGGATAGAAGTGACCAGAAGACGAGGAAGAAGACGTAAGAAGATGCTGGATGACCTTGGGGACAGAAGAGGATACTGTCATTTGAAGGAGAAAACTCTAGATCGCATTAAGTGGAGGAATTGTTTTGGAAGAGACTGTGGACCTGTCGTCTGACAGATTACTGATGAATGAATGAACGAATGAACGAATTTCCCATATTCCAAGCGACCAAACTCCATGCTTGATACAGCATCTCGGAATAACCTAAGAGTAACATTAAGACCTAGATGGCTGTTGTGAACACGGTAATGAACCATAAAATTCCATAAAATGCTGGAAAATTCTTGAGTAGTTGCACAATTGGCGGCTGCTCAAGAAGGGCTCAACTCCATAAGTAAGTAACATCAAGACCAACAAACAGAACGTTATAATCGTGGTACCTGATTTCATGTAGAATTAGTGGAGTTCCCAGCTGAAACAAAACTGCAGGGTTTTAGATCTTCGGGTATGCAATGCTCATACCTTGGAGGCCAAAGGGAAGCTCTTTGGAGGTATTTGCTAGGACAGGGAATTGAAGTGCCAAAATCACTGAGGCGATCCTGAAACCAACAGGATGTCGGTGTAGGACGGGGGTAATTGATTTCCAAGTGTACTTCCTTCGCATTGGCTAGGATTCTCCAAACAGACCTTATCGAAGTAATAGAATAAGACTGGGACAGAAGGGAATTTAAGGGAAAATCTCGAAGGTCAAGCAGTGCCTATTCCAGACCAATGAAATTCTATTATTTTTCAGTGATGTGACACTTGCTGGTGACTTGTGATTGGCATTTCTGGTAGTCCCAAATGGACACATAAAGTAACAAAGGTTTAACTTCTGAAGTCCTGTACTGCGATGCCGAAACATTGATAGTTAGTTTTGTCCTCAAACGTTATATTTTACATCGACATGTACAGGATAATATTAAAATGGATATTAAGAAAAGAGACTGCGAGATTGTAATGTGTATTCCTCTAGCTTGGAACAGTGACAATATCGGGAGCTTGTGGTCACGGTACCTGAACGCAAAAGCTGGGGATTTATTGACTATCTCAGTGATTCTGAAGGACTTCTATCCACAGAGTTACATATATAAAACAAAAAGTGACGCTATCCCTGTAACAGACCATGGAGGCCCATAGGGTTATGAGATGTCGAAGCTCCCACATTTTCTAGACAATCCGCTCAAAGATGGAAGTGAATTTGTCAGTTTTTAGCGCCAGCCGGCCTTTACCCCCGGAAGATTCCTGGTACTCATTTCTGTTACAGGCTGAGTCTAATCCAGTGCAGCTGAAAAGATTAGGTCAATTAAAAAATCCGATTATTTCATCGGGAATGGAACCCACGACCTTCCAGCTTGTAGCATAGTGCCTCAACCACTTACGCTACCTCGTGCCCCGCTACATATTTAGACTGACATTATGCATAAAACGAACCTCCTCTTGGGCAATCCTTGAGGCTTAAGTCAAAATACAAGAAATGGAATGAGCAGGACAGAAGAAAAATATCCTGTCTTCTGAGATATATTCCGTTGGGTCTAATGGCTACCAGCTTCATATTGGTTTCTTGCTTGGCTTATTCTTTGATCCTGAAGATGGAGGCGATATTTTCTCCCGAAACATCACTGACTTTCAACGGAGTACACGACTTTATATCCAGGAAGATACGACGCTTCATGACCGCTGTTGTGAGAACCTCAAATCCTAAACAGAAATAGAAGTCAAGATGACAAATAAGAAGATACTTATGTTTAATGTTTCTGTTCCTATCCTCGTGTTTCGAATAACACTTACTGCTATGAGCACCGGACTTTCCATATGTCGAAAGTGTAAGACAGGGATAAGGGCAGTTAAATCAAGAGCTAAGGTCAGGTTCTCAGGTTCCGCATGTGTCAAAAAAAAAGTTTACAGCCAGTTCTATAGTTGTATCATAATGTGCGTATCTTACAACAAATTGAAACATAATTATGCTGTGGTCTTGTGGGTTATGACACTAACCTTTCGCAAGGACACTCTCTCACCACCTTCAGTATCCTTCTAAAATACTGGTAAGCATCTATTAGACTTCAGTATCTCATAATTCGGAAGGTCACAGTTAAAATGCCAACAGATTCCACATGATGCTATATAACATTTTTTTTAAAGAATGCCATATTCTTGAATGTGGCGCCTTAAAGATGTTATGTGAATCGACGTTTCGGAGGAACGTATCGCCTCAATCTTGAGGGTAGAAAAATCCGCGAGCGAGGAATCATCGTGTGCACGTGGGCGCAGCCACTTGCTCACGCTGATTCCTCACTCGCGGATTTTTCTACCCTGAAGATGGAGGCGATACTTTCATCCGAAACGTCATTTTACACTAGATCTACAAGGCGCCACATCTCTGAAGACGGCATTCTTCATAGTCACTGTCATGAAAACCTCAAATCTTACAATTTTTTCTGGAGATGGATATTATAGACTTATAGACACTTGACACTTATAGGGTTCAGTAAACTGCTAACGAATAAATAAAAGCAAATAAATCGATTAAGCTAATACACTCTATTTTATGTTTCAGGGGAGAACCCGGCTGCGATGCAGCATGGAGGCTGTGCGTCGTGGGCGAGAGGCCTGGGTCGATGGGCATTGCTACAGCTCTGTGTCACGTGGCTTCTTCAAACATTCATACTCCACAGGTGACAGGAACTCCAGTGAGGGTTGGACATGACTTACAGCACTTGGCTTTCGTGATGATATTTCGAACTATGACGTCAATCGAAATATTTTAGGAGGCGTTCACATTACCACCAAAACCACAGGGTACCAGCTCGTATGGAGAATATTAGAATGTCTTCAGACAGAGAAGCCCACTTCCATATCTCTCATTCAAGACAAAGGCCTGGTCTTAAATAGACTTTAGAGCTGTCATTGGTGAAAAGTGTTTTCCTACGAATACGAAATACATTTCATGACAAACGGCCTATTTGTTACGGAAACTTGAAACACAGAACATACAGATATAAAGTTGAAATAAACAACAGGTGAAGACTTCAGTTTTCTTATTAATTAATGATAAAATTTCAGTTAAATTCAGTACAGACTAAATAAAATTATTTTTCATCTCAGTTGATTAAAAGTTCCCGAAAAACAATCCTCTTTATTTTAAAGAGTGCTCTAAATACTTAGCAATTGTTTATATTTTATTCGAGAATCTAATATATACTGCGTTACAACTTATTTAACCTATAACAGATCTGCGCATGACTAAGTCTCTTACACGGCAACGTAATGGGTTTTGCAGTACTAATGACTTACTAGAAACAAAAGCAATGTGTCTTCCGACTTCTACGTAGACCAACTTCTGACTTGAAGTAGAGTTGAGGAAACTGGTTGTAATCTTTTTTCTTTAATCTTTTGATAAGTTTCCTTCAGCTGCCTCAGTTATTCACTTATCTGACATTAAGAGTTTGTCATCAGAGACTGTATTTACTTACTGGGTCTTATTCCACCATCCGTAGTTAAAAGCACATTATATCGTGTCTTTTAAATGCTGAAATATTATTATTATTATTCTGTTGTGTCTTCTTTGTATGAATTTATTAACTTCCTTCCCGCATTATTCAACGATCTGCAAAAATATAAACGCGATATTTTAAGTCACTCTTTCGTTCCAATTATCCACAACCGAGTGTTACTGAGTATGATTTTAATATTTATTCTGCAGAATTACTTTAACCGTCATAGAAATGTCCGCTTCCAATCAATAACTGTTATCCCTTTTCATCCAAATATTGTTTATTCATCATGAAGGCATGCACAATTGTAAGTGCTGAATCGTTAAACACAGAATGAAACAATTGGTATTTTTAGAATTAAGCTGGCATTTCATTCTGGTCATTTGAAACAGTAGAATGGTTTATTGGTAACTTATTCCCTTCGCGTTCCTGCATCCGTCTATGCTGTGTTCTACAGTACACTGAAATATACTACGTAATTTAGCGCTCGTCATATAAAGCCTGGGTGGGTCTCAAGTTCTGATGTGATCATTTGTGGTGTTATATTAAATAAGAAATCAAGATTACGATTACTATCTGATACTCTGTGTTGCCATAGTGACTAAGTAAAACCATTACTCATAAAGTTATTAAAATTTCTCAAAATAAAATGCCATAACCAGTAAGTAAAATTTGGTATCTGTGAGAGTGAACTTATGTGCTGAGAACAGGAAGGCAATGTTTTTGCAACAGACGATATAACCATAATCTTCAAGGTACTGTAGGCGACTGTCTTTCCTTCTGAACAGTGTAATGAAGTGACTAGGCCCCATGAAATGCGGATGAGGTCTGGAACTCTACGTAAATACAAGTGAGACCCTACTGAAAACACAGAACAGGCTCGCATCCACAGGAGCTCAGACCACAGCTCAAATAAACACATTGGATAAACACGCATTGATTTTGAAATCCTCCTCTTAATAGTCTGGCATGACTTAAGTTCTGAAATAAAGAGATTTACAGCTTATACATATAATGTTGTGAAGATACGCCTCCAAGCAAGGCACATTCTCTTGAATACCTAGAACTTCCGGTTCGCAAAATAAATTAAAACGAAATACCTTCTGTTTTTAAAATTAACATAACAATTTATATTTGTTAAGGTCCAAAAGGTTCAGGAGCGCATGCCATGCAACTTAGCCCAGGTATTTCGGAAAAAGAATTGACGTTGATAAGAAGAAGGAAATATGCACAAATATAAACGTAATTATATAATTTTAATGAAATTTTATATTCTGAATTAAATAGGGCGATTGGTGAAACTAGTTTTAAAGAGTTTAACATAAGTTTGTAAGCTGACTTCCGGCAACCTCCCTTGAGGAGAAAATCCTGGCTTTGCTACTAACATTCCCGTTAAAAATACATAAAATAGCCTTTAAAAGTAATTAATTATCATATATAGATACAATACATAAAATCATTTAGACACTTCGTAATAACTCTTCTTCTCCCACGACTAATACAGGGATATTGACTATATAGGGTATCAGTTCTGCAATTTACGATTGTAGCATATAATCTGAACTCTAAACGAAAATGCATACAATAATTGTAACGACATATCGAGCTCTGTTGAAATATTATATCGTGGCGACATTTTGTGTTGTATTGTACCTTTGTTTTGGTTTAAATCAACACAATTTATGCATAAGTATAATATGCATTAAAATTTTACAGCATGCTTCAGCATTTTGGTTAACATCAGGCATTTTACTCGTACATATGCCTTTAACTGGCATGTATCTTCCCTACCTTGACCAGTGGTTACATGTGTTTACGTTTTGTGTTGGCAGACATTTCCGCCTCCATTTACGCACTACTTGTTCCCAGTTTATGTCTTTCTCTTTCTCTCTCTACTTCTCTGTTCTGGATTTATATTCCTTTATCAAAACGGTTTGTTGGATATCACGCAGTTGACCTTCACTCTCACAGACTTTGGAAACTCCTGACCGCATTTAACTGCGGGATTTATGAGAACAGATTTAATTAACGACATTGGACTACTCAAACTTATTTCCCAAGAGTATCTCTCCCCCAAGTCCCCACTCAGTGTTTGGTTCAGTTACATTTAATTTTAAGTAAATCTCTCTTACTCAGAAGAATAGAGTCTCGAGATTAAGTCAAAATGGCGGAGAACTATTACGATCAGCAAGCACTGTATCTAAAACAGTGAGACCAAGCAAGTTTGACTGTAGGTGACTATAGCAAAGTTTAAAGCACATTTGTATGAACAGAGTATCAAGTTCTTGCGACATGATGTGACCCCAAATGAAAGAGTATATTGAAGAAAGTCGTCTTCTGCGTTTAGGCGCCGTTTATTCTTCGTTTTGGCCGACGTTCCTCCGAAACGTCGGCCAAAACGAAGAATACACGGCGCCTAAACCCAGAAGACGACTTTCTTCATAGTAATCGCCGTGAAGACCTCAAAACTTACGAAAGAGTATATTCGTTGCCGATTGCAGAATGGAGAAATATGGCGTTGAAAACAAAGTTATTATATTGGAAATATATATTTTAGAGGATAAACCTAAGATAAAACTGAGAAACTAGTAAAATTAAAATAATTTTATTTAATCTTTAAAATAAGTATATTACTTAATTCCTACTGCTTATATACAGACCTATAAAACTGAAATTCCAAACTTGTACCTAATTATATAATAAATTAAGAAACGAGCATACTTTTTTGTGCACCATGTAATCGTATTTCGTTCCTAAGATTTTGAGAATGGAGACTGAATAATTGACTTTCTCTGACAGAAAATAATTCGAATTTCTGATGATTAATATATTCAAATTTTGAAAAATAAAATAACATAATGCAACCAGTTCTTCTTTCCTGAAGGAGCATCATTTTAAGTTGAGTACTGGCTTTTCCCAATTATTGTTGTGAATATTGTCTCAGCCTTCCCCCTGATTTTACTCCGCAAGCGATCTATACCGACCCAGCGACCGCCGCTTGTCGGCGAAGTTCAGTGTCAAATTTTGCGGATAGAGTGTATCGCGTGGTCAGAGCAACGAATCCCCACGGCCGTTAATTTCGGTTTTCTAGACCGGAGCCGCTATTTCCTTAAAATAGCTCCTCAATTATCATCACGAGGCAGAGTGGACCCCGTTCCAGAGACACTAGTTCTCAGGAAAAATCTAGTAGTGACGGGAATCGAACCCGGGCCTCTGGATCTGTAGCCAGGAATGATGACCACTGGACCAGACACAATTAAATTAATATTTTATTAAACCACATCTGTGTACGTAGAGAAAAACTGATACAAATTTTTGTATTTCCTGTGCATTGAAGCGTGCCAGGAAGGTCCATGTTTCAAGTCCATATTCATTGATAAAATATGTGGTTTTCATTGAGAATTTCGTTTTTTAAGCATATAATCCATAGATAATGCCATCATTATTTGTATTCATCCACATTTCTTCTGAAGTAGCGGTTGATTATAAATTCAAGCAGAAAATACTGTGTCTATATTAGCTTAAAATAGTTTAACGATTAAAATATTTTTGGTCAGATATCAGTAATTTCCAAAGTTGTTTTCATTAGTGTCATAATAGTTCCCATAAGCTATAAAATACTCACCTAAGAATGCCGATCGTTATAAATGCTTTAAATATCTCTGAAATATATTTAATGATAGTAATATAATTTACAAATGCTAAATTTTACACAATGCTCAAAGAGATTTTACATAGAATCATTCCTCTCAATCAGTTAAATTTCATTTTTCTCTGAGTGCTTTGCTTTATACTGACTCTACCTTGCACACATTGCAGTATACATATACTATTTTAGAGTGATATTAATTCGTGGACATTCTGCAATGTGTGAATTTCTGTTTACCGACGATGCTTAGTAAGAAGTCTCAATAAAACACAACCTGGAAACCTTCAAGTCTGTTGATTATAGTGCTTTCTATGGAAGTAGAATTAATTGTAACAAAGTTCAAAACAAACTGCTAGAGATTACAAGCTGAATGTCTGAATTTTTTATTCATTGATATGGGAACTTCCCACAACAATGCAGCTATGCAAACATATACTGCTTATGAAGTTATGGAAAGCAGGAATAGTTTCCTTGCGACAGTTGTTAAAAGCACTGAGTGGAGTACAGGCAATGAACATGTTTTAGATAATCATTGCATTTGTTACTAATTATTCCAGTTCATAACGGTGTAACAGTAGGAATTCTCACTTCAATTGAAATGCAATTCCTAACTCTCGCTCCTAGTGGGCGTGCTTTTAAGGTGTATAATCTACCAAAGATTGTCTTCAGCATTCTGTTGAGACCCGCAACATTTGCTCAAAAGTCACGTATGCTTTTCATAAATTTATTCGAAAAATTCAGAACTTTATTTCGAAAACAAAATTTTTGTTTTACATTTCAAGCTCGACATATCCAAAAAGTATTTTGCAATCTACGTATAATTTTCATAGTCTTGCAAATGAATGTTGTAGAACTTCATATTGAAACAGTTCATTTATTTGGACTCTAATACTTTGTTTGATGAAGTTAGTAATATAATATTACAAACAATGTATGTTACAATTCTGAATCCTGGCCTCGAATGACGTGTTATTATCAGCAAAAATGGAATGGGTTTGTACACAATCACAAATTCTCCGCTTCCTGTTTTATGTAAAATGTAAGTTTAAAGTGTTTCAGAGAAATACAGTATTGTGTTCCAAACGAAAATCGTACTTTTGTGTCACACTGTGGATAGAGGAAATATCAGTTTAAGAAGATACATCGAAATTGCAGCACTAGACACATCACAGGAGATCAAGAGAATGAGTATCATAACATTTACAATATATCAAAGCTTCTGTAACTAGATTAAAGTAACTATCAATTCTAACCCCTCACTTTGAAGGCAAGAAAAACAAAGAATAAAAATTTGTTTTGAAAGGGATGCATGTTTAAAGGCCTATCTGTTTCTTACCCATGTGGCACACATATGTGACCCTCATTTTCAAGTGTCGAGACCTGAGTGTATAGAACCTGTGTGTTTTAAAGGAAACAACAAGACAATAATAAACGTGTTCTTCGATGTGTGATGAACAATATAAGATTAATATTACCTTAAGTGTGGGTGTTCAAGAGAACATTATAACACTTAATTCATTACAAGTGATGGCCGTTTTATGTTTTAAATAACATTCGCATCATGTAGAACGTAGAATACATTGTATATATTCAACATATTCATCTTGTAGATTTTTTCTGTAACAGATTACAAAATTGTTATAATTGTTGTTCTTATCAGTATGGTATTTGTATTGTTCAAGGTGTCATGAACCAATCACAGTGGGAATTACCAGTATTTTACGTAAATTTAATATATTTGTGTTATAAATTATGCATTTTTCTAACTTAAGTATATTAATTTAATTTTAGTTTAATTTTTAAGGTAATGAATGAAATTAACATTTTTAATAAACATTATTTGTCGATGTGATATATGTTTCGTCTTTGTAGCCATTGTTAACACTTGGCCCTGCTTGGATAAGGTTTCAGCAATGTGTTTTGAACGACAGAAGCCAGCATTGTATTATGAACTTGAAGTGTCAGTGTCTAGTTCAATCGATTTTTTGCTTGCACTTTTTGTTAACGTGGACGGATCTTTACGAAATCACGTAGGAAAGCTGTTTAAGAAGGAAGTTACTGATAACACTGATATAAGAGAAGGGTGAACCTGAGTAAAGAACATTGAAGTATGAACTACTCTGAACTAAGAATTGTTCTACAAAGAGCAGCAGAACAAATGGGCCACAGTTATGCTAGACCAGCTCGATATTAACTAGAGCGCCTTGCTCTGGCCTATTGTACCAGCCCCAGATGATAGTTGAAGGTGATTGTGGGGCAATTGGTGGAATTAAGATTGGCAGGGGAAACTGAAGTACTCGGAGAAAACCTGCCCCAGCGCTACTTTGTCCACTACAAATCCAACTTGACCAGACCCGGGATCGAACACGGGCCGCCGCGGTGGGAAGCCAGCGACTAATCGCTTGCGCTATGGCCCGGCCCTAAGATTCATTTTATAAATTTATTTTAACTCTATTGCCCGTGAGTGACATCTGCACTGCAATTTGAGGAATTACATCTGTTCTTAGTTGTGATTAGTTCCATTTAACATCTTTATATTTGGTTGTTAGAAAATTTATTAATGTCTCTCACACGTAATCATCACCGGCACAGTGACTTTTTTATAAAGACAAGGACAGAAACACACTAGCATTTAAACACCTGAATGTAACATCAGAATTAATATTTTCCAGTTTTTATCTCAAAGATGAATATTTTTATATCTCATGTTGTTTTTAACCTACGACATTTTGGAGAGACAGTTTTGAATGTACAAATGAATGGATGCTTGGCTTTTAGGATACCTGGATTTTCAAAATTCTTATAAAAATATATCTTCGATTATATAAATATATATAGAGAGAAGAGTATGGCACATTATGAAATTGTTTTACGTGAGATACGTAGAATTTAATTTTAAATTATTAATACTAATCAAATATTAAGAAATGATCAATATTAATAGCCATGCAATTAATTATCTGTATCTTTGAGTAATAATATATGCTGGAATGTATTTATTTCTGAGCTTAGTGTAGTATAGTTCCTCTTATTTAACAAGTGTTCATGACACCTTGAACCTGTTGCAGTTGTGATACTTTGCTGACAGTGTCTTCTACATTGTGCTACTGAATAAACTAAGGAGGTGAAATATAACATGTACTCAAACAGAAGTGATTTGTAAATTAAAATGATTCATTTGCACATTAAAACATTTCAAAATCCAATAATAGCGATGGGTACATTACAACTGCTTCTCTCTTTCAGGACTCCTATCCACAATCAGAATGATACGGATAACAGGCTGAGATAACCGAGATCTTCCCTTAGCTTTCTGGTGTAATGGTGGTTTAATCGTTTGAGAAATATGCAGTAACTTGATGTTACATAATTAGCCTTAATTCGAATCGAATGGATGTTTATTCTGACATAATTTTCTCACTCAAGATAAAACGATAGCTTTTATACTCGAGTATTTAAGTGTTAGAAAAAGAAAAGATATATATATCACTCGTTTTGCTTCCTGAAAATTTCAAATATCTGTACGTGGAATTTCATCATCACTTCATAGATTAGACGAATTGCCTGTTCCTTTTTCTAATATTATTACACCTTCTTTCCGCCATCTTCTTGGTCTTCCTATGTCTCACTTCCAGAGAGACTATATTCATGGGTTTGAATTTTAATGCGATTTTGTTTCATCCTTTGCAAATGCTTTTTCCTTTTGTCCCTGTATA